CCACGCGAAACATTTTTGGATAATTTCGGAGTTTAGAGACGTTCCGAGGTATGGTTTTGTATTTCTACCTGCAATACGAAGGGAGAAATTGAGAAAATACAAGATACAAAAATGTTGTATTGTCGTTGGTTTATCTGAATAATAATTGATGGAAACCGCGAAAAAAACTACAGGGATAACATTTTCTTCTTCAAAAATGAAAATGACTTGTTACTGGGTACGACCCTGGAAAATTTGGATCGGATCTAAAAGGTCCAGTGAAGATCTAATAATTGTTGAAATAAACTGAGTTACGTAAAATTGATATTTGTTTGAAATTCAAATTCTTCCATCAATGTTCGCCATGTAATAAATTCAATATTTCATCGAGCCGGCTTAATTATAAAGTGTATTCGTTGGTGTTGATAAGTCAAATGTAAACAATATTTTTATGACCTTATTTTGTAATCTCTGCATTCGAATCAAAAATCAAATCAAAATAATAACAATAAATTCTATTGTCCTTGTCCACTGAATGAATCTTTTTTGTTCACTGATGGACTATTATTGTTGATAAAAAACGAAAACAAATTATACTCTGCCCTTAAATAATTTATGTAAGTTATTGTCTATAGAATTAGCGAGTGGACTATTTTTTTAATTTCTTGAATAGAATCATCACTCAAATACCTTTCAATTTAAATTTTTTTAAGAATTTTTCGGTCGATTTTCATGTGCTAAAATCATCAATAATGCCACGGTAATTTTCAAACGGCTAGAAATTTACCGTCAGTAAAAACTGACGCCACGATTTCGTAAGTAAGGGCAGACCATAGCATAGTTGCCATGTGTTGAAATACAATTGGGAACTTCAGAAATATTAGTTATTCAATAATTCATAAATTCTCAATTGGGTATTGGTAATATTCCTAATTAGCAACAAAAATTCAATTGTCTCAAAATGTCCCCTTATGATTAATGGCTTATTCGCGAGATTCACGAAGTGGGCGACATCTAGGTTACATAATACGAACTTCAAACTGGGGGAAAACAAACTGTTGTCTATGGATAAAGTGCATAGACTACATTGCAAACAGCTTGCTGTAGCTATAGTTGTCAAACTTGTCAATGACATAAAGTGTATAGTGATGATGGTTGAGTTGGTTACATCATTACATTTTTATTAGTTTAGTGCACAGTGAACGGGTGAAGAATTGGAGATGGTTCGAACAATTCAAACTAATTATGACGAGCAAATCAAAAAAGTACTGCTCAGTGCAATAATTATATTTCGGAAAGTGTGTCTATGCATTTTTTTCCAAAAGATCCAAAGCTAGCCCAACAATACCCAGATTGTCCTGCTTTGCAGGAACAAATACAAATCCATTGTTCTACAGGAGTTCCTCTGGACCCCAACTTCAATTTTACTTCATGTGGGGAAGATTTCATCGCCGAAGTTTGTAGACAAAGTGCAAAAATGTGCCTTTTGTTGAAGTCTTCTGCCTCACACAAAATCACATGATTAGCATGGAGAACTGCTTCTCCTTCCACTACTGGTCGGCTTTTTCCATCTAAATAGAGCAAAATATCTGCCAAAAGAACATCGACAACAGACATTATTAGCGTTTTCGATCGAATATTGACAATGAATGTCAAGAAATTTAAAAACTTATCACTCTTATCAGTACACAGTACAAAAACTAATGGGATTGTGAGGATTGAGATTATTTTCCCCCAGTTTTGACGTGGCTTTGACATGGAACGATGAAAACCGAGCGCCACCTGGTAGCATTGATTCCCGGGAATAGCTTATAATAAATTTGTGTAAATAATAATCACACTAGAGGACATTTGAATCGGTGAACGTGACAACCCCGCGCACGACTTGTGGGCGTGGTCTTGTCACTTCTCAGCATCCAGCACAATGTTGCCAAGTCTCCCACATTCACATGACGTTTTGTTATGGAGAATAAGAAATATTTGGACATTCTGGTTGCTCTAAAAAGTCAAGAATGAATGTCATGAGATCCTCCTATTATGTTTTATTCAACGACAGGACTCAAACATCTTTTTGACAACTTGATTATAATTGGTGACTTGACAACCTTGCTTCATGAGTGGAAATGGAAGATTATCTGACCAATAACGAAACAGCATTAAAACTGACGTCACCATTTATTCGAAGTATCGCCAAATGGCGGCCATGACGTTACGTTTGAAATGAGCTCTGAAATTCAACGATTTTGAACAACGCATAGACTTATTATTCACAAAAAAAAGGTGTTAGAAGTGTTGCAAAAATTAATTTCGGCTTCTAAGGACACAATGGAGTAATTGAATGCCAATAATTCATTATCAGTCCACTCGTCCATTCATAAATTATAGATTGTTTATTCATTATTCAAGTCATAATAATAAATGTATACATTTTAGACATGATTTAGTGCATTTTATACAGTGTGACCAATATAAGGTTGCACAGCATGGGCATCTCGGAAACAGGAGATACAAATTAGGAGGAAAAAAGTTGCGCACTCGGAGGGTCATACCAGGCCTTCGAAAATTTTCAAAATTGTTTTTTTTTTTTCAGTTATATCGAAATAAACGAATTTTTGGAAAATCTATTTCTTTCTTTGTTATTATTAGAGATACGGAAAAACTGAGAATACTTTTCCATAGCAAATTTTGATGAGATTTAACGTAGTGATATTGATTTCTCTACGCGATGTTACGTATTCGTAGAACCATCATCAACTTATTTTTAAATACTCTGAATTCAATCATGTATTGATTACTCAAAGTGGTTTGAATGTGTTTCGACCTAGTTTTAGCCATCATCAATGTTTTATCGAAATTCCGAAGAGGAAATAGCATCAGTTCCAGTTATTTCTTATCATTAAGTGTCTAACATTGATGGGGTATAGTTATTCAATACTGAAAAGTAAAAAATGAAATACTAAGAGTTTTTCTGTATCTCTAATAATAACGCAGAACAAAAAACCCAAAAACTAAAAATCATTTTGAAAATTTTCGTCGGTATGACCCTCCGGATGCGCAACCTTTTTCCTTCTTCCCTTTCTGATATGTTGTGCTACCTTATCTTGTTCACACTGTATAATAAAGAATATGAAATAGGTAGGTACCCCCGTAGGTACCTAAAACAGGGTTGTCCATCGAAGAGATCTACCCCTATATATTCACGTTATTTCTCACTAAAAAAAAAACTATGCAAAGGCCTATTCACAGCCCTTGTCAAAAGTTTCACAGTGTGATCCCTAAATGCGTGTCAAACCAATTTTTTTTTTATTGGAACACCCTTGTATATTACTTGTTTTTCTTAAAAATCTGTTATCCATTGTTATATTGAATTATAGATATACAGATATGAATGATAATAAATTGGACACTTGTATCTTGCAACATTATCGAATTAATTTCCATATCATCTAAGGTGGTTCAAGTGATTACTAATTCATCACACTAAATATGTTTTTCTGGGGTAACCGAAATTGTAATGAGAAAGAAAAATGAGAAAGTATACTGCATATTTACTCTTATGTTTTTGTACTTGTATTATATTTGACAAGGAGCTAAACGGCATGATTTCAATATTAGAAAAATAATCTGTTAACATGTCATCAGAAGACCAAAAATGGTATCAGGAATGTAATAAAATCATTAAACTTCAATGTAGACTATTCAAAGTTCAAATCGTAATAGGCATGACTGAATTTCACGATTCATTGGTATCAAATGAATGGAAGTGACTCCCTCTCTGTATCGATTTCGCGAATAAACTCAAATTTTTTGAACAGATCGGCTGGAATTAAGGACATTGAAAAAACCGTTTCGGCGAAATACATCGAGCAATAATAATATACCGCAGAAAAAAAAAACGAAAATGTTTTCATATAATTGGGATAACTTCAAAGTTGTTGAGTGATTCTGGGATTTATAGTTGTATCAAGAAGTTCAAGATACGTTTGTCCGTTAAGGATTGCATCCATATAATATGGGCCTATAATATGGTCTCCCAGGATCCTAGCCCAAACCCATTTCTGAGTAGTTTATCAATGGGTTTCCCTGTATAGTCTTTGCAAAGTTACTCGGGACAGCTTGATCAAAAGAGATTTGCCGCGCCAGCCGGTCCCTTTGAAAAATTCGAACGAACCGAGTGCTGCCGGCGATGTTTTTTGTTGAATTTGTGTCAAATGACTTTGTAAAGACTATACCAATGAGGAATCACGTGACTCAAGTATCTGCAGTAGCAGTAAGCAGTGTGTCCATTGTCCATCTGAATAAAAAAAAAAGGATCCGTCAGAAAAACACACATTGTAGAGTTGTTTATTATTACCAATCAATAACTGACTCATGATGTCACAAAACTCTGGACGTTTGTCAAAATCATCTTCATTTCATTCTTGTTCATTCGGCATTTTATAAGGATGGGATTTTGCTCTCAGTTACAATGAATATAATGTCTTCTTGAGAATCAGCTCACTTTTCAATAGACCACTTGATCTCTTCATCTATCACCATCAGACTTCTTTCGTGGAAGTTTTCGAAATCCATAGTTTTATATCAATTGTAAGTAGATGCGCATGTCGTGAAGTGTGTGAATATTTTTCAAAAATATCTTATAGGTATTACTTCTTTGTGATACTGAATGTTTCAACCGAGGGTTCAATCTTTCGAATGATATCATTTCAGTTAACGAAAAATTTAAATATCTTGGTAACACTTATTTTTCATTAAAACTTCTACAACACTTGATCGATTCTCAATTGCATTACACCGGTAAATTTGGGAATAAAAGCCCTTCAAAATGATGTTTCGGAATTATACTTGTGATTGAAAATTCTGAAGTAGGGGTAAAAATCGTCGGCTCTGAGCGATTCTCAATTTCGAAGCTGGGGAGGGGCACAATTTAAATGGGGCACGTGGTATACCTGAAACCACACTAACACCTTACTATTATAGAAAACTTCCCCATCAGAATTGTCCGAGAACCATGCTGTGAATATTCTTTTTTCGTTCCAGGGTCGTATCGTCACAGAAGAGAGTAATCGTGGATCGATCAAGCTATGGCCCCGACCAATTCACGTCAGTTGCTAGCGTGGACTTTGCCAACTATAGCCGTTCTACTCAGCTATTTCTGGTACAAAAAAAGGAGAATTGGCGGTCGAAGTGACCCAGGCGAGGTGGTGAGCTGTTGCAGGCAAACGAGAGAAGAAGAATCGGTCCAGAGCGACAAAAGCTCGGAGGTGGAGCTCAGCGACTCGGCTGAGGATATCAAGGCTGCGGAGCCGGTTACGCCGCAAAAGGGGTTCTTGAGGTATGATTTCCAGGGTGGAAATGGACAAAGGCATTTAAAGGTGCTGTTTATTCATTCACATTCTTGAAAAAGTCAAAATATAAAACAAAACTATCGAAATTTATCGAGAGTATCCCTTCTTTATATTGAGAAACTACAACTACTACGAGTAACTGGCGATTCATACAAAAACAAAATTTTTAAACGCATGCAAACAAAACATTTTCAGCAAATTATTCAAAAGCATCATTTATGACATTATGTTCCATAGTCTCAAATCATCGATCTTAGAATGCCAACACGGATTTTTCTCCAAACGAGGGATTCAAACAAACTTAGTTATATATTCCGAATACATCTCGAATGCCTTAGACAATCGAGCGCAGGTTGATTCACTGTATACTGATTTCAGCAAAGCGTTCGATAAAGTCGAACACAACCTCCTTATATTGAAACTTTCTGGAATTGGTATACAGGGAAACCTCCTGAGATGGCTCTCGTCATATTTTCATAATCATAGTCAACTTGTGAACATAAATGGGTATAGGTCTGCCTCTTTCGTGGTAACCTCGGGAGTCCCTCAGGGTTCACATCTGGGCCCTTTATTATTTCCAGTGTTTATTAATGATCTAAACAGCTGTTTAAAACATACACAGATACTGTTATATGCTGACGACTTGAAGATATTCAGAAAAGTGTTGACAATAATTAGGGACTGCTCAAAGATCCAAGAAGATCTAAATAGGTTCAATGAATTCTGTAACCGTAACAAAATGAAACTCACCGTCAGTAAATGTGCGACATTATAGTCAAAAGAACGGACCTAATCAAGGATCTTGGTGTACTTTGATACAAAAATGACCTTCAACCCACATTTTGAGTACCTAATTAACTCTTGCAATAGAGTTTTGGGATTTTTTTGTAGAACATGCAAGGACTTTGATAATGAGGCAGCTATCAAATCTATTTATTATGCTTTTGTTCATAGCAAACTAAGTTTCGCCAGTGTAGTATGGAACCCACATTATAATATGTATAAAGTATGATTAGAAAGACTTCAGAATAGATTTGTTAGGTTTCTCCACTTCAAAATTACAAAGATTTATATAACTGTTGGCATTAGTGAAATTCGTTCTCTTTATAATATACAGCTTCTCGAACAACGACGGATAATCACGGATTTACTCTTTATGTACAAAATCATAAAAAACTGTTACGATTCTCCTAATTTATCATGTCTCTCAGAGGTATACTAGAAATAGACAATTACTTACTAGTCCTAGTTACAACACGAATTTAGGAAAATATTCTCCAATCACCAGAATGTGTTACTCTTTCAACAAATATTGTAATAATATAGACATTTTCTCCATGACATTCAATTCTTTCAAAACAACTGTAAGACATATCTTCCATTCATCACCGAAATATCAATAATTTATTGTTACTATTAGTGGATGCTTGTATGGGTTTCACCTGTTTGTATCCCAAACTGGAAATATATAAATAAATAAATAAATGAATCTCACATAAAATGATTCTGAAATGAGTAGATTCATTAGGTTCATTCGGGTTCGAACTATTACGGTTCTAGAACTGTCAGGAGTTTGCTCGGTCGCGTTCGAGTTTTGTGGAACTGTTCTAGGACTGACTCTTTACGCGTTCGGGTTTTTCCAGAATTGTCCTGGGGCGGTCCTAGAACTATCCGATACCAGTACCTGCTCTCGAGCATGAACCGTTCTAGGATTATTATTGGCGCATGCTCATTTCATTTAGTTTTCGATTCTGTCTGTTGTAGCGTAAAGTCATAACGATATATTTTTGTTTATTCAACTGTTTATTGCTCATTTCACTATTTTCTCAATATTCTGGGGTTAGTACATTCATTTAATAGTAGTAGTTCTTCATCTTCAGGAAGCAGTGGTGAAGGAGTTCCTTGCTGAAGCTGCTGAAAATATTGTGCCTAATCTGATAATTCTCGAACTTTTGTTAGATAATCCGAAAGATGAAGGATTGTGTTGGGGATACTTTGCCATTATATTCAGATACACAATTCATTGAACATTTCAGGTGGGTGTCGAAATTCATGTAGGTACAAGGGACAAAACATACCAACCAGAATGCTATGATTGAATATATTCACCATTCCTCCACAGAGGGCTTCCAGTGATATTGTGAATAGACTGAAAGGAGAGTTTGAAGCTTGTGTCAGGATTGGCTGTGTTAGATATTCTCGAAATGTATTTCAATAACTATGTCTTAAGTTCCAGTTTCTTGAATTAATGTCACATTAAGTTGATCAGTAATCGATTGAAATTCGACTGTTTTTGTCTGATGAGAAACATGCATTGACGAAATACGTGAGCACAACCGCTACCAGTCGGACTCATCCACATTCATTCAGGTTGATACATTGGTTTGATACGCTGGAGCTACTTGTCGTTCTTTACATGTGATTGTCTTTGTTCAGTTTTTACATTATAGTTTGGAGGAATAAATTTAGTACATTGTGTTTATGTGTGTGATAGTGATTTGTACCCCTTTAAGCTAACGCTATATAGTCCAAGATCCCATGAATACCAGACCTTCATAATTTTATAAAAACTGAAAGTTTCTGAGCACATTTTCCCAACACAGGTAAGAAGGATGGGCAAATGATTATGAAGATTAGGTCATGGTGCCTTTGGAAGGTTACAGGCAGCATGAGAAAACTAAAAACATGCATTTTCGGACAATTCTGTCAATTAATACAGTTCCCTTGACACTGATATAGTTTATGCAAAGTCAGTTGGAAAAACACATCACTGCAAGCCGTCGGTCCCTTTGAAAGTTCAAAGAGTGCGGCAGCGCGGCCCGACATTCGTTTGATGATCTGTTCAACTGACTTTGCATAAACTTTACACAACACGTTAAAGGCGTTGTTATGAGGCCTATCGCAACGCAAAATATGCATCATACATTATTTTGATGAGACAATCTTAGAGGATGACATAACTTTGCTTACGTCTGATTATCATTACGTCAGAATCTTCTGTCCTTTTATCGGTGGCAATCAGCGAACTCCAAGAAAGGTCGAATAGGGTATATAAATCGAATAGTCGCAAATGTGTATACAGTGGTGAAGGGAAGTGCCATGAACATAGCGGGGTGGGGGGGGGGGCAGGGGAACGTTGAATGTATTTATTTTCGAAATTGCGCCCTCTAGCGAAAAATGAATTGAATAACATAACATTTTCTATGCCAAAGGCGTATTAATTGATTAATGTAAATATACACATTCATAGGAATCCCGATTCATTAGATATATAATATATTTATACCAATAAAGGATATTAATTCTCTGGCAATGATTCCGCAAAGTTATCCACACCATTCGTGACTTCATATATTTATCCGTGTTTGATCACCGATCAACAATGGTTCCGCAGAGTTTTCCCCACCATTCGTGATTTCATTCATTCATCCGTGTTTGGCGTTTATTATAATTATTGTTAACGTATACTTTTCAATGATTTATGAATGAATCGCGGTGTATATCTATTGTTATTCAGTCTGAGGGTTGTACACTTCCAACTTCGAATTGAACTCTTTCCGTAGGTCCCTGTCTGGCGTAGAGTTTACCCCTATCAACATTGTGGTGCCGCGTGACGTCAGATCGCCCAACAACAATGATTCCACAGCCTTATGCCCACCATTCGCTATTTTATTCATTCATCCGTGTTGGGCGCATAGGATTGTTGACGTATACTTTTCAAATGATTTATGAATGAATTGCGGTGTCTGTATTGTTATTTAGTCTGAGCGCTGGACACTTCCAACATTGAATTGAATTCTTCCCCTGAAGGTCCCTGTCTGGCGTAGAATCCACTCCCATTGACATTGTGGTGCCACGTGACGTCAGATCGCCCAACAACAAATCGCTGGCGCCAATCGTCACCGACGACGATTTAGATTTGGAGATCGAGAAGATCAAGTCGATGAAAAACGGCGCGCTGTTCGGCGCCAAAAGCGAGACGTCTTTGTCGCCGCCGCCGCTGCCGTCTGTCAAAGAGGCTGCGCCTGCTCCCTCTGTAGACGAGAAGAAGAAGAGGAAGCAGAAGGTGGCGAAGAACGGAGCCGGCAAGATGGCCCAAAAGGTAAGGACACTTATCATCAGGTTGGTTAATTTTGAGGAAAAAAAAAAGGATCTGAAACAGAATAATTAGATACTGTGTGAGAGTCAATCAATGAGGTGGAACATGCATTTCTCTAAATTTCTGTGATTTCTCTTCTTACAACTAATGTATTTCTATGAAATGATTATTGAAATTTGAAGCTTCAACAAACATGAAATGTCGTCTCGTTTGTGAGCAACTCAAATGAAAATGTTAACCATCATTCTTAAAATTTTTGCAATACTCTACTGAACAAGATATATTCGAAAACACTTTTTCAGAACTGACGTTACAAATCTGAAGATGACGGCAATTCGTAAATGTCAGTGGTGACGAGCGTGTCCACACTCTTCAATGGGCAAAAAATGAGATATTTGAGGCACTCTAGTGAGGAAAAATCAGTTTATTTGCTCAAAATGTCATGTGTTTAAAAAAGTTACTATTATAGAGCCAGAAAAAAAAATCCAACCGATTGTCAGTGACATTTTGTTTTGAAAAATGTCCGAAGAAGAGATATAAACCTATCAAAAATATATAAATATATATATCGAAAAAATATCGAAATTTTACTTATGTCTGGACGTTCTGGGAACAAATCTGCTCCCGTTTTCAATATAAAAATGGAAAATATCATTTTTCCAAATTGTCTTCAGATACCAGTGTTGCCACTTCTTAGTAACAGATGTTGAGGTTGGTAAATAAATGAGTTACCAGATGTTTTCAATAATTAATATTGCATTTACTATTTTCATGTTAGCACTGAAACTCGTGTTCTATCTATATCATCTGAATAGGAAGCATTGCTATTGTCTCCATTCAGAAGAATGCAGGCGCATTCCTGGAATTTTTTCTTCTCATTGTTATTTACCTTTCCTATGATTTTAATACTTATATTATTCCACTCTACCATATGGTGGTGTCCCTTTTCAGTGAGGATATGTTCAGGCCCATACGTATCTGCTAAATACTGTCTGTAGGTTAATCAAGGAGGTGGTACATTTATTTTTATATAAACAAGGAGATGAAATACCAAATAATCTAAAAAATTTATTGTACTACCTCCTTGATTAACTTACAGACAGTATGCAATTTCACTCTTTTCTTTTCATTGATTAATTCTGATTTAACTGTTTATCTTCCATTTCATTGGAATTCTATTTTTTGTTAATGTTTTTATGTTTTTTGTCCCTCCATAGACATGTTTGTTTGTTGAAATCAATAAATATTATTATCATCATTATATAGGATATAGCGGTGGTGGAGGAGAAACTGGCAACGTTGCATATCACCAACGACAAGGAGATGCCGCACAAGGCGACGAAGAGAGAGCACAAAACGAGCACGGGCAGCAAACGCGACGACCAACAGCGACACAGCACCGAAAGGGATTCGGCCAATCACAGCCCATCGGACGTCATGTTGGCCAGTCCTTCGTTGAGCAGTATTTCCGATAATCATAGCGAGGTTAGTGATGTTTGATGATATTTTGGTTTGGCGGCAATTTGATGGCAAGTACAATATACTTCTCCCGCCATCTCTGGGGATAATAGTGAGATATAATAAAATAAAAATTATGGTTATTAAACCAATTGATTAATTCGCCACAGAAGTGATTTATAGATAAAAATGTATTGTTTTTCATTCAATCATTGGGTATAAGTACAATTAAGTACTCTTCCAAATTTCCTATACAGTCTGTCCAAGATAAGGTTGAACAGCATGGGGATCTCGGAAACGGTAGGAGATACGAAGTCGCTTAAATGGGGAAAATTATTTTTAGTTTTTGAGTTATATCGAAAAAAGTGAATTTTTGGAATTTCTATTTTATTTTTTTTCTCCGTTATTATCAGAGATACAGAAAAACTGAAAATACTTCTTCTTTGCAACTTTTGATGAGGTTTAACGTGGTGATACCGATTTTTTTATGCGACGTTTCGTATTCGTGGAACCATCATCAACTTTTGTTTCTTGAATACGGTCCTGATAATTTTTTCACAGATTCTGAAAGGTTTTTTTATTCTGAATTCAAAAATGTACTATACAATGTGATTCGAATGTGTTTTGACCTAGTTCTATCCATCATCAATGTTTTTTCGAACTTCCAAAAGAAAAAAGCCATCAGTTCCACTTATTTCTGATCATTTAGTGTCAAACTTGATGGATTAGTTATTCAATACTGAAAAGTGAATAAAAAATATTTCACTACATCATTCGATCAATGCAGCGTTTAAAACTGTTGATGAATTCTTACACGAATTACTTCAACAACTGAACTTTGACAATACCTACAGAGACATCCATAACACATGTACAAAATGATAACCATTATTTCCTGAACAAAGATATCCTTTTCTCACAGTTGCTTCAAAGACATTGCTAAGCATTTCTGGGGTCATTCAATTGAATGCTTCGAAGACACTGCCCCTTAGTTCTTCTTCATCATCAAAGTTATTTGCGTGTACAAAGTTCGATATATCCCCTAAGAAAAAATCCAGCTGTGTCAAATCAGGCGACCGAGCCGGCCAAGGGATAAAAACGCACGGCCTTCTCTGGAATTATGTACCGGAGCGCCATCTTGTTGAAACCAACAGTTCTGAACTTCCGCAATCGGTAAATCATCCAGAGCTTCCTCAAGATGATTTTCAAGCGAATTTCTATAACGTTCGGAAGTCTGTGTTTCATGGTAAATAGAAGGAACAATAATTCGTGTACCAAATATTGCAACCCACATATTAATGCCGAAACGGTGTTGGTGTCTCGCTGTAATGTATAAATGTTCATTTTCTCGTGAACAATAGTGTGTATTTTTTCTATCGAAGCTACCATGATTAGTGACCATGCTTTCATCAGTCCAGCTGATTGTTCGAAAGAAATCTGCAAAATTTTAACATTTCCTGGTATACCACTCACAGAATGTCTTGCGCCTTTCGTCATCGCCTGGTTTTAGCGCTTGACATATTCTGAATTTGTATGGATGGAATTTTTGTTTCCGCAAAATGAAATGGGTTGTTGATTGAAACCAGTTGATGAGGTATTAGTGTGCTGACTGATTTTCGTTCAAAATAAGTGGAATTGATGGCATTTTTCCTTTGGAATTTCGATAAAACATTGATGATGGCTGAAAATAGGTCGAAACACACATGAACCACTTTGTATAATACATGGTTGGATTCAAAATAAAAAACCTTTCAGAATCTGTGAAAAAATTATCAGGACCGTATTTAAAAAACAAAAGTTGATGATGGTTCCACGAATACGAAACGTCGCATGAAAAAATCGGTATCACCATATTGACCGTCATCAAAAGTTGCTATGAAAAAGTATTCTCAGTTTTGCTGTATCTCCTAATAATAACGAAGAAAAAAAAAATAAAATAGAAATTCCAAAAATTCACTTTTTTCGATATAACTCAAAAACTAAAAATAATTTTCAAAATTTTCGAAGGCTCTTGATATGAGCCTCCGAATGCGCAACTTTTTCCCCATTTAACCGATTTCGTATCTCTTACCGTTTTCGAGATCCCTATGCTGTTCAACCTTATCTTGGACAGACTGTATATAGATATTAAATAATGACCAGAGAAGCAAATAAAACTCCTAGAATAGACTAATATCCAGTTTTTCATTTTATTTTTGATTTGATTTTTCATGCTCTCTTTTTGGATATTCAACAGATATAATTCAATGTTCGACGTGGAAAATAGCCAGGAAAGTAGTTGTTTTCTATTGAATAAACCGAGAAAGAATTAATATTTTCATCACATGGAGAATGCAAATTCTCAATGTATTTCTTTATATACAGGGTGTTAACAAATAAGTGTCACAACGGAAAACTGTAGATTCCTCATAATAAAAAAAAAACATTTCTTTCCTCTTCAAAATTTTTCTCCAGGCTTTCGTTTTCAAGATACAGGGCGTCAAAAAATCAAAAATGTTCAGTTTAATTAAACACACTTTACAACACTTACTAAACTTGACAATTTGAAAGCCAGCATCGAGACCAGCATACTCAAGAACCTGACATTTGATTGAACATTTTCTTATACAGTTCTGAGGTGTTTATATTTCTAGTGTATTTTTAGACGATTTTTGGAGATACCATCAGGATTTTGTATGTTCTTATTCATAAAGAGCCATTTTTCGCAGAAACTATTCACTTCAGAGCATTGAGACAAGAGGACGTTTTTTGTGTGAAAGATATTGGCGCTTCAGAATCTACTTTGAAAATTATATTTTCTCCAGTGGCATAAATTTTTGGGGGGTTAATGCCTTACGAGGCTTTGAGTTCTCCTCTCGGTTCTCCTCCACTGAAATGTCCAAGGAAATTGATCGAGAGCCCTAGAAGTAGTCATTATTGATGATGATGTACGAAGGCTTAACTCCGTAGCTCAAACGGTTCCTAAGATAGTAGCAAAAAACATGTTTTTTCTGTGAAGGGAAAAAAGTTTGGCATTTCATCTCTGTTGCCAGGTTATAAAATGTCACTTTTCATAAATTACTTTTTTCCCGTCGAGAAAGAACTGCTAGTCCATTTATCTTCCATTCGACTTCGCGGTTACGTATATTACTAAACAACCACTAAATTCGCAAGTTTTTTAAATCAAATCACATAATTAGACTGACAGAAGTGGTATCAGATATTTGATTACTTCAAAAGAATGATAAAGATGCCTACGACGCAGGTGTCCCTACTATTAAAAACTTAAAATTTCACGTCGATAATTTTCAGATTTCGAAATAATGTAATATCTTCTCAATATTGATTCGTCCTTTTTTCTGTCACAGAAAAAAGTCGTGTATTATACACGGGAAAAGTATTAGATTTTAGCTCACGGTTTTTTGTCTCCCTCCGCTACGCGTCGGGAGACAACACAACCTAGAGCTAAAATCTACTACTTTTTTCCCTTGTATAATGAATAACTATTTTTCTGTGAAGGGAAAAAAGTTTGGCATTTCATCTCTGTTGCCAGGTTATAAAATGTCACTTTTCATAAATTACTTTTTTCCCGTCGAGAAAGAACTGCTAGTCCATTTATCTTCCATTCGACTTCGCGGTTACGTATATTACTAAACAACCACTAAATTCGCAAGTTTTTTAAATCAAATCACAGAATTAGACTGACAGAAGTGACATCAGATATTTGATTACTTCAAAAGAATGATAAAGATACATACAACGCAGGTGTCCCTACTATTAAAAACTTAAAATTTCACGTCGATAATTTTCAGATTTCAAAATAATGTAATATCTTCTCAATATTGATTCGTCCTTTTTTCTGTCACAGAAAAAAGTCGTGTATTATACACGGGAAAAGTATTAGATTTTAGCTCACGGTTTTTTGTCTCCCTCCGCTACGCGTCGGGAGACAACACAACCTGGAGCTAAAATCTACTACTTTTTTCCCTTGTTTAATAAATAACTATTTTTGTATTATTTTGACGCCCTGTATCTTGGAAACGGAAGTCCGGAGAAAAATTTCGAGAGGGAAAAAATGTTCCTTTTTTCATGAGGAATCTACAATTTCCCGTTGTGACACTTATTTGTTAACTCCGTGTATATATCCATTCTTTTGTGTTCATAAATATATCTGAGTATATTCCTTTTCAATGAAATCATTCTAGTTTGCACATTCAATTTTCTCTTTCAGGGCTCGAACGACAGCGGCAAAGGGGGCAGCGATGCCGCTCCCACTCCTCCGCCGCCCTCCTCTTCCTCCTCCTCAACCGCCGCTGCCGCCGTTTCCTCCGTCGATCTGATGCCCTCCTTCTACGAGTTCGTGATGCCGCAACACCTGGTGGGCAAACTGATCGGGAGGCATGGCGCCCATGTCGCCCACATCAAGGTAAAGCAAAGTAACAAATTATTGAAGGGCAAAGTGGATGAAGGGCTGAGTAATATTTTCAAATTTTTGTATGTTTTGTCATGGATACGTTTATCATCTGAAACCTTCAAATCCGCTGAATATATTGTATTTATAGAGATATACCACTGCTGAAGAGGTTATGTTAACACAATTTTCAAAAGTCCTAGTGGATCAAGGAGTCAAAGTCACATGACCACTTCATCCGCCACATAACCATGATCATCAAAATATCATCTGTAACATGTACCTAAATATTACTTAACCCCTTCATCCAGTTCAACCGGCATTACCATGACATATCTCATAAATGAGATAAGTTTGAAGTGAAGAGTGAGTACATGTTTCTTCTGAGCATGAAAATGTGAGCCATTTTCCTGAAATTGAACTAAAATGAAGAACAAAGAGAGAAACTCAAAGTCATTACCACAACTAGTTCATAAAATGAACGACAATGGTAGATAACGAGCCAAATACTCAAAGTGGAATGCATTGTTCACAAAGAGAGAAACTCAAAGTCATTACCAGTATTTGGCTTTTTCCCTAGTTGAAAATTCGCCAGTCGGACAACCAGCCACTCCCATTTCACCTGAAATGGGATTTTGTTTGGAGTGTTTCTTTCCTTGCCAGGTGGCGTTCGGCGTTCGCGTTTTCATTTCGCAGACGTCGAACGCCTCGTATGGTATAAATGCTGAGATGCGTTTACGTTGGGTCAGGTTCGCACCAGATAGCGGTCAAGAAGCTATCTGGGACAGCCCTGTACTGATGAGAGCCAAGAGCTCGAAACCGGTCTGCAGGTAGTCAGCATTCCTGAACCACTTAAGCGCAGCTCAAGCGTTTAGGAAGGAAATACTTGCGATTTTATTCGTTTATACGAACTATCACATAGGTTTCGGGAGGATGTAATGCAATGTGCTGCGTGGCATATAGCCAGGAAAGTAGTTGTTTTTCTATCGTTATCTACCATTGTCGTTCCTTTTATGAACTAGTTGTGGTAATGACTTTTGAGTTTCTCTCTTTGTGACCAATGCATTCCACTTTGAGTATTTGGCTTTTTCCCTAGTTTAAAAATGAAGAAGTTTTTCGTATTATAACAACAAAATAACACATCTTATGGCTTGCCTCCCCAGCTATGTTCTCTGCTAGCTAGTTTTCTCTCAAACAGGTCTCTTCATGTAGTGGTCGACGGAGTTTCATCTGACTATCTTATCATAAATGCTGGTGTTCCGCAAGGATCAATTCTAGCACCTGCATGTCCAGTACACAGCTTTGCGAATGATAGTACTCTCCATACCTCCTTCTCTTCCAGGGCTTCAATGGGATTATATCACAAAAAAATTTTATTTCATAATTCGATAGAACCAAACTAGCTCACCACCGCAAACCGTTTCTTGCTGTGAGCTCCCTACGTTTTATAAAAAATCATTGAAATCCCCGATTTTTCGGACCTCTGAAAACGAGGCGATGATGTTGACGTCAAAACCCTGATACTGAAACAAGACTATTCCAGAGAAAGATGAATGATTCATGATATCTGACAGAGTGAATTAGCGCGAGATCACAGTTGAAAGAATTAATATATCGGTTGCCTCAGTTTCCGTCGAGCTTTTGGTATTTTCTTCTAACTATGGCGATTTGAGGTTTCTACGTCATAAGAGGGTCCGTTTTCAGAAGATACTATTTTTTATGTCAATCATTATAAACATGTTTTGAGTTAAAAGTTCTACTGAAGTGTACACGCCCATTCTAGCCAGGCAAATCAGAATCAAACGAGGGAGAAATGTTGACAACATAAATATGGACTTGGCGACAATTCTCGAATGGGGATCCAATAACTTGGTAGATTTCAATGCAAACAAAACACAAGCATCTCACTGTGCCCAACATAAGCTTGCCAGGAGTAACCATACCTTTGAAGACATCAATTTCGATGCTTGGGATTACTATCAGCAATAACCTTTCTTGGGAAAATCACGTGAGATCAATTGCTAAAAGTGCATCCCAAAAACTCGGTTTTCTGTTTCGGGCCAGGCGCTATTTCACTTCCAGTCAGCTGCATATTTATGTTTTCAAACAGCTAAAAATACAAATGATGCTATGTTTGCTTTATTAGAGGATATATATATCAACATAAACGATGGTGACGCAGTTGCAGCAGTTTTTTGCGACCTTTCAAAAGCATTTGACTGTGTTGATCATGAAATTTTCCTTCAAAAATTAAAAATTTATGGCTTTAGAGATATTACACTAAGATGGTTCCAATCATACCTATCAGAGCATACTCAAATAGTCTCGCTTAACAAAATAAAGTCCAGGTCTCAGTTAGTGAAGTGTGGGGTCCCTCAAGGATCTGTGCTTGGACCAATCTTATTTTTAATATATATAAATGACCAAGCAAATATCACTATTAGAGGAAAGTTAACTATGTTCGCAGATGACACCACAATACTGTGGCATAGCAACAATAATGACGAACTGAGTAACTATGTCGCTGAAGATATATTGGAAGTAAAAAATTGGTGTGATGCGAATAAGTTATCATTCAATATTTCTAAAACATGTATTTTGACGTTCAAGTGCACTCTTAATGATATACTTCTGGAAAACTCAAGAATTTGTACTCAATCCTCGGCTAAGTTTTTAGGGCTCTATGTGGATGACAGTCTCTCATTCAACACCCACATTACAAATTTATGCAGAAAATTATCTTCTGGTTGTTTTGCAGTAAGAGTTTTGCCCTGATTGACTCAATTTTGAGATATGGAGTTTGTTTTTGGGGGAATAGTTCTCAATTTCTTTTGAACTCTGTGTTCATTTTACAATAGAGGGCGGTTAGATTCCTTAGTAAAGCTAAATTCAGAGAACCATGTAAACCCTTATTTGTGGCTCAGAAAATACTGACATTGACTTGCATCTTCATTCTAGAGAGTGTATGTATGATCCACAAAAAATATACCACGAACATTCATTCGATGTCGGTATACAACACAAGAAATGTTGACTGTACGGTTTCCCTACTAGTTCCTAGAAGTATATTAATAAAAAAGTCTTTTATTTATAATGCCAAAAAAATGTTTAATCACCTGCCTTCACATATTCGTTCATTGCTAACATATATTAAGTTTAGAAAGGCAGTAAAAGAGCTACTACTGAATAAAGGCTCTAGTTTATAGATTTTTTCATTGACGATGCTCTTCTGAAATATCAACAATTGTTCCTCCCTTGGCAGTCCCCGCGAGATTAATCCGTCGAGTTGAGGCTTCGCACCCCTTCGTGGTCACTTTGGAGACCTGCAGAACACCTCTTTCCGAAGACTCGTTCATCCAACGAACAGCGAGGCTCTGGAACACATTGCCAAGGGAGGCGTTTCCCGAGCCATATAACCTCCAGGAATTTAAGAAGAACACCAATTCCTACCTTATTTTCCTTGGTTCTCATGATGTTCTCTGAACATTACAGGATATCCCTTTTCGTGGGAACCAGAACAGAAAAAAAACTCTTTCAAGTTAATCTGGTACACCATATTTCAATGTAGATATTGTGCCTTATTTCCGAAAATGAAGGTTCATGGAACCTGTCCCCTGGTAACTAATCCTTCAAGTTGGGAAAGTAGGATACATAAAAGTTAAGAAAGCCAACGTTCGTTTAGTTCATTGTACCAGTATATCACCTGACGAAGCTACTGTATTAGCAAAACATGTTGTGTGTTTAGGAATTTTGTGGAAATCTTATCGTTTGTGAAGTTTTTATGCTTACTGACATTGTTATGTGTACCAACGGTGTGCTTAATTAAAAAAACATCTAGGAAAATTTGACACTACCTCTGCACACCATGCCACCCGACAAGCAGGTAACATTAAATTACCAATTCCATCATCGGCTCTAGTTAAAGATTCAATAATTCATGTAGGCTGTAAGATGTTCAATCATTTGCCAAAAGACACCAAGGAAGTTGGATCCAATAAAAAATTAAAACATAGAATAAAAGCACTCTTTTCGGATAAACCCTATTATAGTTTACAAGAGTTTTTTGATGATACATTTTAACCATAAAACCATTTCTATTAGGAATATTTTAATATGTTGTAATGTGTCCCTTATGAACTAGCTAAGTGTTCAAATAGATTTATGCAACAAGTGCAAAAAGTGATTTATTGAGGTGCGGCACTAGGTACAATTCTGTTAATTGTCAGAATTAATGTTTGACTGACGTTTCTATAACCACAGTTGCATTATAGAAAATGTTTGTCATGATGACATCACGTTGAAGTAGAATGACAGATGAGTGCAATAAAAACTTTATTGCACTAAGTGCAATAAAGAACTTCTTTTTCCACTAAATATAGTTCAATTAAGTTCTGCTTTTTGCATGAATGTAGAAAAAATAACTATTAAAATGTTGTGGTGTTATAGTAGCGATTTCCTCTTGTTCTAGTCTTGATATTTATTCCAAGGTTATTTTTTTTACTTACTTTGTCAATGAGATTTTACATCTTTAGACAATAAAGCATATTCTCTCTCTCTCTCTCTCTCTCTATTCATCACTTAACAATAGTAGTCGTAGGAAAAGAAATATGCCGACTATATTCTCTGGAATTTACAAAAAATCAAAAGTGACATTTTCATTTTTCCTGAAGGAAAAGACGGACGCGACCATCATCGTCCGTCAGCATCCCAACGACGCCAAGCTGAAGGTGTGCTCGATAGAGGGCACGGAGACCGAGATCGCGGCCGCGCTGAAGATGGTGCGCGACAAGTTTCCCGCCAAGCGGTACGCAGACGTCACTCTAGAACGAGTGCACTTTACGGCGATCGTGCCGAGCGTGCCCCTCATTCCCGATCATCTATACGTGAGTTTTTTTCTTCCTTTTTTAATTCTTATTTTTTTGGGGGTTTCTTGGGTTTTGGATTCGTTTGTGAAATTAAGAAGTGGTGGAATTTATAAAAACGTTTCGCCCATGGCCATGGGCTTTGTCAATTTATTGTAAGGACGACATGATGATGAACAGTGGAGTTAGGTTAGCTGTGAATTAAAAAAATACAATTTTACATTTTGATATTATGAAAATGATTGAAAGTATACGTACCTCAACCAAGTAGTAAAAATCAGAGAATCATTTGTACTATTTTTTCTTTTTCGGTTTCATAGTTAACAAAAATTTTTTTTTTGGATGTTTCGTTGATAAGGCCTACGAAAAACGAGGTAAAACGAAAATGTTTTGGAGGTTAATTTGGAAATATTTTTGACAATGACAGATGTATTTAAGTATGACATACTATAATTCACTAAGAGCGTGGGTATTTTAACAAATATCATTCGGGTGGTTAATTTGAAGGTCAGTGGTTATTTTTTTTATTTTATTTATTGAGTAATCTACAGAACAGGCAGTTCCAATAATCGATTACAATATTAAAACTAAGTAAATCACCATTCTCAAAATAATATGATGCCTTAAACTAAATTAACTCCAAATGACCTGAGTCAATTGAGAGACACATTTAGTTGAAATTGACAAATGGACCTTCTTTATTTAAATTGGCTTTCAGTTACAATTCTCATTTACGTCTAAGGATGATATCTCAATTTCAATTGTTTTTCTAAATGTTTTTACATTGCATTTAACATAGAAATCTATATTCCTCATACAATTTGCAAGAGAACACATATTGTATAGTGTGGAGTTTAAACCTAGGTTGGTTCGAGGTTTAGGCAAAACAAATATATCTCTTCTTCTATTATTAAAATATGTACTGTCACAGCCGTCTTCAATTGAAAGCCATGAAGAATGAACTTGGCAACATTGTCCGAACCACCGAACGTGAACCTGTCGGCCATTCAAAGTGTATTGTGTAGGAAGTAAACAAAGAGTTTATGGAAGGTTTTGTTGAAGTTTTCAATTATTAATTGGTGTCATATTGAGATCTAATAATTTTAAAAGTATTAGCAACAATCTAGGAATCGACTCGAGACTAAAAAAGTGTGGCAAGTGCATTCAAAATTGTGTTAAATTGGAGGTTATAGTGAAGTGTACTAGTGCTGGTGTATTTGCAAGGGAATTTGTGTTGTTTTTTTCAATTTACTCCTGGAAATAAGTAAGTAATTCATTATTCCTTATAAAATATGCCTTCTCATTGTTGTGTGCCAGGATGTAAGTCAAATTACAGATCTGAAAAAAAGCTGGGAAAGGATCATGTCTCAGTTTTTTCATTCCCGAAAGGGGAAAAATTTCGAAGTAAGTGGATAACAGCAATACCTCGAAAAAACTGGACACCATCTCAACGTTCTGCAGTATGTGCAATTCATTTTATTGAAAAAGATATCATCAGGTATGATACATTCCCTCTGCCAGATGGATCAATTGGAAAAAATTTGTTATGAGCACCAAAGTTAGTCAAAACAACAGTTCCTTCAATTTTTCCAAATTTACCAAAATATTTTTCAAAACCAGCCAAACCATAAAGAACTGATCCAAATGAAAGACGTCAGAAATATTTAGATATTCAAAGTAATAAAATAGAACAGTTTGAAAAATCAGACCTCATCCACAACTATGAACAGTTAGTTAGGGAATATGTTGAGAAAGTTGAAATTGATACTTGGAAAATCCATGAGACTGATGATAAATTGTATTTTTATGAATCAGATTTGCAAGCAAATGTTTTTTATCCCAATGATGTAAATACTTTACAAATCGTTTCTCAAGTTATAATATCCAATGAGATGGAGGTCCAAGTTTTACTTGGTGATAATAAACTTGGATTCAATGAATTGAAATGGATTCTTACTCATGATATGAAATTGAATAGATGGTCACAACTTGAAAATATTCTAGCTAGATTCAAAAATATCTCAGATCAAACTGACAAACACTCAGATATGAATAAAAAATTCTATATCTCCATAAGTTTTATTTTAACAAAATGTTCACAATTACTGCTTCAGTTCATGACCAAGAAAGTTATTCAACCACATTATTCCTCGTTCTTCACTCTGTAAGTTCACTCTCGTGTATTTTTTACCTATTCGACAAAATAATCCGAGAAACTTACGTTATACCAAACATTCAAAGCTCGCGCTCATATAAAAACCATTGTATTGCTAGGCGCGAATGGACCGACGGTTTCCGTTCGTGCGACGTTGCCATTATCTCAGCACGGCTTGATAGTTGAAGACGGCTGTGGTACTGCAGTTCAGGTAAATTTGTGTCAACAATTGTGGATTATCTACTTCATTATGCAGTAGCTTGAAGAAAGATGATATAATAGCAACTTTTCTTCTAAATTCTAAAGTTGTGAATTTAAATTCATTCAAGGAAGTATGATAACTGAGATTAAAAATATATTTACCATGTTTTTTGTAATACAGAAATCTTAAGAATTTTTTCTGTACCTTTTCAATTTCATTTTTATGAACTGAACAGAATACTACCTACAAAGGTATTATAGAGTGTTACTAACGTGGATATTTCTGTGAATTTAAATGAGTTCCTAATAATGAATCCAAGCATTCTCTATGCTCTGTTCACAGTGTTGGTCACATGTTGCTCAAAGTTGGGTTTTTCATCCAGCATAACTCCCAAATCCTTACATTCTTCTTGGTGAAATATTAATTTTTTATCTTATATTGAAAATCATTTCGCTTTTTTTTCTAGTAATTGTCATACTAAAGCATTTGTCAACATTAAATGAGAGGCGATTTGCCAGGGACCTTTTGTAAACTCTATCTATGTAATTTTGTAGCAGAATCGCATCTTCTGGACTTTCGATTTCCTTGAATAATTTAAAATCATCCGCGAATAATGCACATTGCGAGTCCTGAACTACCTCTGGCAGATGATCTATTAGTAATAAAAAGAATAGGAGTCCTAGATTGGACCCTTGGGGTACACCATATCTTGTGAAAAAATCCCCTGATTCCCCCCCTTTATAAACTACATACTGCTTCCTGTCTATAAGATACGATGCTGACAGCTTCAATAGTCGATCTGAAAGCCCAAAAGTGTAGTTTTTTTTTAAACATAACCTCGTGATCAACCTTGTCAAAGGCTTTGCTAAAATCTGTGGAAATAACATCTAGTTGATTATTATTTTCGACAGTTCGATTTGCCTCTTGTACAAAACATGTTAGGTTATTTGAACCACTTAGTAGTACAGGGTTTCTATAAATGATCCTAACATCGTAGTAGCCGTTGAAATATTTTCTCCATTTGCCGCCTTTCATTTATGGAGATTCACACATCTAATTTCTGACATCAATCATTGTACTGTCATAGCTGATAAACTCACAATTGTCAGTTTTTTGTTGAAATTTTCAAACGATTCTATTTTCTACTTCGTGATTCTCGTGTTGGAAAGAGGGATGGCTCATTCCTCGGAGCAGAATACATTTATTGTAATGTCTTATTGGAGTATATGGAGTTACTCGGTAGTAGCCTGCAAGGATGAGTACCTGGCGAAATATCCTAATGTACAGATTCAAGAATCTTCTTTGAAAGCCCACATCAGAACAGTGATCAACAGATTCTTCCAAACCGGAAACGTTGATAAAAATAAATCAACAGGAAGGCCCCAAATATCGGAAGAAGTTGTCGAAAATCTAAGGGCGCGTGTTGAGCAAAATCCCCAAACGTCATTGAAGAGATTATCTTTACCATCTGGTGTGCCACTTAGTACATGCCATAAAGTGCTCAAGACAAGATTGCATATGCACCCTTACAAGACCAGTGTACCACAGAAACTTCTGCCAATAGATCTCCCACGTCGTCTGGAGTTCGATGTTCTTTGAACATTATAGGAGTTTCCTTTCGTGCGCTCCAAGCGATAAAAAAAAAATCTCAATGATGACCAGCTATTGGACCTAACCTTTTTCAACGCCAGCTATTGGACCTAACCTTTTTCAACGATGAGGCTTAGTTTCATTTGTCGGGATACGTGAACTCACAAAATTTTAGGTTTTGGAGATCTGAGAATCCCCACAATTTCATTGAGACTCCACTACATTCTCAAAAAATTGGGGTGTGGTTAGCAGTTTCTCTTAGGCGAATATATGGACCGATTTTCTTCGATGGCACTATCAATGGTGAAAGGTACAGACAAGTGATGTTAAAACCAAACCATTCATTAATCAACTTGATGATGAAGAAATTCGAGTTGGCTATTTTCAGCAAGATGGAGCCACTGCCAACACCACACGTGCAAATTTAGAATATTTACAAGAATTTCATGACAACCGTGTGATAAGTCGAGGAGTTGATCCTTCTTTTCCAACACGTTCTCCAGATTTGACGCCTTTGGATTTCTGCCTTTTTGGATATTTGAAAGACAACGTATTCAAGAGAGACAAAAATAACCTTGAAGAGCTGCAAGCCACAATAACACATTGCTGCCAATTTATTGGCCTGGAAATGCTGAGGAACATTTTCTACAACAAACGGCGAAGAGTATTGAAATACTTGAAGAACAACGGAGAACATTTTGAACATTTGATGTAGGTTGATGGAATCAACCGTTATTTATTACTTCTTTAATAAATATTTTTGATTTGTTCCATTATTTTTCGAACTCCAATATTGGACTCTCCTTTCTTTGAGATACATTTCCATAGTGTATGCAAAACGATATAAAAAAAGATCCTGTATATGATCACTTCCTCTCTTTTTGGTCGTTAAATGTTGTTAACAGCATTAGTAGAAAGCGGCAAACGGAAAAAAATGTCAACAGCCACTACGATGTTACGATCATTTAAAGAGACTCTGTAGTAGTAGTCTTTATTGGCCATATAAAAATACATTGTACAGATGGCAGGTCACAGATGCACAAGCAAAATACATAGTATTATAGATAAAAATAT